GTATACACCATAGAAACACCCTTCTCACCAGTTCATGAAAATCCCCTTACACAAGCACTAGACAGCGTGACCTTTAAAGAACTCGATGTCTTTGGTCTGCTAGTTAAGCTTGACATAGGTAAATCCACTGGACCCGATGAACTGCATCCTAGGTTACTAAAGGAATTAGCTAACTTTGTTGCGAACCCTTTAAGTGTATGTTTTAATCTATCCGTAACCCAGGGTCGTCTACCAAAAGACTGGAAGAACGCCATAGTAAGTCCTGTCTTCAAAACAGGTACAAAACATAAGCCTGAGAATTACCGACCAATTAGCCTAACTAGTGTGGTTGTTAAAATCTTAGAAAAGATTATTCGGAAGGAGCTGTTAAAGTATCTCGATGAAAACCGGATCCTCTCCGAAAAGCAGCATGGTTTTAGGACAGGTTACTCTTGTCTCACAAACTTATTAGTCGCTCGTGAAAGCTGAAGCGCTCTTAAGGACCAAAAGTTACCTATAGACGTAGTTTACATCGATTTCAGCAAAGCTTTCGACAAAGTTCCGCATAACCGGCTGTTATATAAACTAAGGAATGTCGGGATTGGAGGCAATCTATCGATGTGGATAAAAGACTTCCTAGTTGGGCGTCAACAAAGAGTAAGGGTGAACTCCAAGTTGTGTAGCTGGAAAACTGTGCTTAGTGGAGTCCCCCAGGGTACAGTTTTGGGGCCACTGTTATTCCTCCTGTACGTAAATGACCTCCCTCGTCTACTATCGTCATCGATCTTACTCTATGCTGATGATGTCAAGATATGGAGAGCGATACAAAGCAAGGGCTATAGCTTAGAACTCAAAAATGACCTGTAGAGATTATCTGAATGGTCTCAAACCTGGCAATTGACGATAAACACTTCCAAGTGTATTGTGATGCATATTGGCCACCAGGGTACAGATACATACACGATGAATAACACTGAGTTACCTATTGTTCAGGCACACAATGACTTAGGCGTCATCATCAGTCAAGACTTAAAGACTTCTGCACACTGCCGTGCAATAGCCGCCAAAGGTTTTAGGACTTTATGGTCCATACGCAGGGCTTTTAGGAATCTTGACGCTAAAACGTTTCTGACTTTGTATACAGTGTTTGTACGTCCTAAACTTGAGTACTGCATACAAGCAGCTAGCCCTTGCCTAAAAAAGACAGTGAACTCTTGGAAAGGGTTCAGAGAACAGCAACTAGGCTGATTCCCGGAATAGCGATTCCCGGTACTAGACTGACCAAGCTAAACCTATTTCCGCTGTCATATAGAAGAATCAGAAGCGACTTGATTACAGTTTTCAAATTGCTTAATGACAAATTTGCACCTGATATGCCCTCATTTTTCTTGTTTTCCAAAACAGAAAATGTACGAGGACACTCCAAAAAAGTTCACAAGCTCAGAACGAATTACTTGTCAGCTGACTACCGACTTTCCCATCGAATCATCAACGAGTGGAATTCATTACCTCAGCACGTGGTTGAGGCTCCATCCGTCGACTCCTTCAAAAGAAAGTTGGATCAGCTGAGAGACCATCATTGCCAGGACTAACACAGACCATCAAGCCTCCTGTCCTTTCCAAACTGAACTGAAACTGAAAACTGAAACGAATAGGGGAAAAGTATTAGCAAATTATAACGAGATAATTTCCCGTATCTCTAAGATTATGTCAAGTTTTCTTTCAAAGGACTCTTGGGAGGTCACCTGAACTAGTTTGGCTAGCAGCTAACTCCAGAGTTTCACTGCTCGTAAAGAGTAGGTGGTGTGCCTACAGTCCATTTCACTATGTTGTGTCTCGAATTTCTGGTTGTTTCTCCTAAGTGTTGTTGTGGGAATGAGGTTAAATAGGTGTTTTAGTGAATGGACAGAAGAGTTTAGGATGCTATAATTCATTGATAGGTCACCTCTGAGACTCCTATGACTCAATGAGTTAGAATTCAGTAACATGAGGCGCTTGTAGTGACCGGCCATTTTCGATAAGAACACGATTGGAATAACGGAAACAATTATTATTATTCTAACCAATTGTACCGGAGATTGTTTTATTGTATTTGTTTAACTGTATCAGTTTCACTTCTGCTTTCGCTATCCGCCTTGTTTGGTTCGAACTTGCTCACGCACTGCCCATTTGGCCTGTACCCTTTGACACGTCTCGGTATTATTTCGATACCACGAGATCGCCAATAAATATACTTGATCTGGATTAATAAAGCCCTCTGATTTACGAGCTATCAAAGGAATCAAGTCGTTTTTGGGCGCGTAATCGAATTGTAGTGGTGATCATAGTCCGTCCTCGACTCGACATCCACTACACGCTCTTCATAAGGCTTGAGTATGAGTTCGAGAAATGATCTTGTGGCTTGTAGTTGGACACGTCCATTGTATTCTTATCCCTCTGAACTGATGGAGAAAACGCTATATTTCCATACTCTAAACGGTTTATAATAAAAGTGTTTAAGGTTAAGTGGAGAGTTCTACAGTCAAACTAGCCAAAGACGTGCTTCGGAACGAATTTCTGACGTAATTAGCATAAGACTGCGGATAATGGGGTGCCGATACTCCTAGATATTTTTCAACTTGCTACACTTCCAGAGGGGAGTTACATAAGTTATTTGTGTAGTCTGCAACATGTCTCAGACGAAGTAATTTACATTTTGAAGTGTTAAAAGCAAATCAAAGTAGATTCAGGTCATCTAGAAGTGGCAACCTATCATCATTGTTACAAACGTATCTCCAAAGTTTCACATCGTCAGCTTCCTGAGGAAGGTTATTTATTTAAATTGAGAAAAGAAGAGGTTCTGATACTGAATCCAGGGGAACACACAAGGAAATTCTGTGGCCTCATAAAAAGTGGGTTTTACCGTGACCTTAAAAAGTCGAGTTTTTAGATATGAACTATGCGAATGAACTAATGGTGGCTTGATACCTATTCGTTTGACCTTATTGATGAGATAAGTGGGTTTGACCCTATCAAAAGCCCTTGAAAAGTCAAGGTATGTGATGTCAACCTTCCCCTTTATGATCAAGGATTGTTGTCCATCGGCCAACGGCGGTCAGCAGGCTAGTTATACAAGGATTACCCATATTGTAACTGTGCTGCTGGGGTGAAAAGAAGTTTAATGATAGTAAGTAGTCACGTAAAAGGTCGTATATCAGAGACTTCATAATTTTTGAAGATACTGAGATAAGTGCTATAGACATGTAAATTGAAGGTTCTCTGAGTCCATCTTTTTTGAAAATTGGTGTAATGGAAGGCAGATATTAATTTTCTGATATCGCGTCTCGGCATAGCGAATGTGCGAATATCAGGCTGAACGGTCTTGTTAGTATCGAAGCCGCTACCCTTAATATGGCAGAACGGAATATATATAGGCTAGGAGAAGTGTACTTCTTCAGGTGCTACAGTTTCCAATACATGAAGTCAACATTCAGGTATCCTCTCGAGAGTTCCGTTAAGTTTTTGGTGAAGCTATCATCAATATAGTTAGTATGGGACGGTTGAAATGCCCGAATGTACTGTTCCGCCTGAAGGTCGGTGGCCTCCTCGTTATTGTCGTTTGGGACAAAAAGACCTAGAAATTGGGAAACTCCAGTTTTGGCTTTTCTAAAGGATACCATTGTTTGGATCGAAGACAAATCTATAGATTAGCCCTATCTGAAACTGAAGCCTATCTTCCCTGATCAGCTTTGTGCCCTTTGTTCCTTGCTTGCTTCTGACCTCTCGATGAGAAAACAAAGTCACGATTTGATCTTATTGGACCACGGTTTTTGATTCTTTTGCAGATGTTCTCGTAGTTGTCTTTTCTTACGGAAAGCTAAAAGATATGACTTGTTAACTTGTTGATTATTTTTAGATACGTGTTATGAGTATAAAGTCATTTGTAGAATCACGGTCTACTTCGTTATTAGTACGACTGTAATAATAGATTTAATCCTAATATTGTAGAATTGTCATGATATAACTGCCTAATCCATAAGACCTTGCTTGGAAGTCACATCATTGTCTGCACTGCCTCATTGTATCGTAACAATCACCGATATACGATGGAGAACACATTTAGGCTGGATATAGAACAATTTATTTAATATGAATAAAAGAGTTAGGCTACACAAGAATAACAACTTCTGCAAGGCTGAGCCATGCAGTTCGATGACTTGAACTCTGAATGACTGTTCCCGTTTTCACCATTATTGACCTTTTCTTGATGTTACATGTTGGAAGTCTGTTTTCCCAATTATCTCATGTTCAGTTTTGAGGATAATGTTTAGTAGCAGTACCACGACAGATGTAAATATACCACAAGTATTTGGAGTTTGTCAGCACCTTTATAAACAGATTATGCTAACCCACTCAAACCAAAAGTCAGAAGTGGAGAGGTTCAGTGTTATATTTGAAAAGCTGTCAACGTATAGAGAAGCGTTTAATATAAGCTAGCTAACGGTTGTAGAAAAACTATTGATTTCGGGCATTTGTTTACTGCTATAGCTAACTCCCCCCTGATGGGTTAGCGATGGCTCTAGGGCAGAAGTTTAAACCCAACGAGTTTGTCAATGGTAAACACTCTTCTGATGAAGTGCTATGTTCAGCAGCATCTGGTTGTCTTCCCCTAATGCAAGGGCCCATATGGTACAATATAGCAACGAAACAAAGTGCAATGAAACTTTCTATTCATCGTAATTTTCGTCTATTTTCATCCTTACAGCCCTCCTGGAAAGGAAGAAAAGAGACCGTAGGTTCATGTTGAGATACACTCGTACATGCATAAAGATTTATATACCGCTTCCAGTGTGATTAAATATAAAACGTCAAACATAGGGATATGGTACCGAATTGTGGTTATAAAAGTTCCTAAATTTACATGTCCCTGTGCAAATTCTATGGAATAGTTCGAGAGATATGAATTAAGGCATGTTAGAGAAAGATTAATGATTACCTATGTTGTTCTGTCCCCAAAGCTTGTAATCTAAATCATTGAATATTCTCGGCCTTCCAAAAAGCGCGCTCTTGTTGAGTGTGCTCAACGTCTTCAGAAATTTAGGATGGCTAGCCCAAGGACACGGCGAGTGCTAATGGATGTCAAGAAAGCTAATGCGAACCATGTATGTCATTGTTTGCCTTTATGTGAATGATTACCCACTTTCCTATTCTTTCTGACTTAGTATCTGTGTCTCATTTTCATTGCGGTCAAATCATCGGCATTAAGTTGAGGTGGAGAACAATGTTTCATTCTATTTTTGAACATTGTTTCATGTATTTTACACTAGCTCACATCTGGTTGACCACAACAAATTGAACTATGGAGGAGAAGCTGGACCTTTACTGGAAAGCAAACTGTAAGCATTAACACAAGTCCACCAACTTACTATCCTTATTACTGAAGGCTGAAGTTAGAAAACGTTACCAAACTACTAGCGTAGCGGTCCGCCTATGGACAGAGAGTACTTTGTGCACTAGAGTAGCGTAAGGAGGGTTGGGAAAGAGAACAGAAAAGTGAGTCAATGACCCAGCAGCGCACTTACATTTGGTAACGAGACCAATCGACGACAATTAGAAATAATAAGCCTCAGATTGAGTCCATCTTGGGGCCGAAATTAGGATCATACTATTTAACCTGCTACAACTAGTACTCTGCAATGGTCGAATCATAGATATTAACTATCCGAATACACTTATTCTTTCAGATTGTTCACCCTGTCAGGAAAATAAATCATAAAAAGTAATATCATGTCTGTAAAATACTTGACAGCAATATTTATACCATGGGGCTTCGTTGATTTTTAAATCTTACTCTGGGAATGTATTACTACTTACTACCTACTTGATGTTCATCAAGTTATAGTCGTATGAGATATTATATTTGTGCATAAATTATTTAAGGGCGTTTGTGTTTATTCTCGTTGTTGGGTGCCTAATGTGGGCCATCAGCTTTATTTCAGAATGTAAACATATAGGTATGTTCACAGTTGTGTTGCTTGCATCCAGGTCTAAACAAAATGATTAGTGGACAAAGTTTTACCTGGACTACCATGATTTCAAGATATGTCCTATAAGATCACAGGTTTTATAATCAGTATTTATTTTCGTTTGTAGTTGTGTTTTGAATGTGGGTCGCCAAATCCTCAGTGGGCTAGCGTTACATATGGCATTTGGATATGTTTAGAGTGTTCAGGAAAACATCGTGGATTGGGGGTTCATTTAAGGTAAGGCGTTTTGTTCGATTATTCTAAAACCTTTCCTCTCGTTTTCTATCATCGTCTCTATAAGAACTACAGTTGATTATCACAGTGTTGAAATAATGAGGTAGTTTTGTATACGGTTTCACAGCAACCTTGGTAATTGCCAAGTCTATTAGTCTTTGTAAGCGAATTTCTTGAGGTATATTTTTGAAACCAGTTAGTAATAGTTATATGACACCCAAAAAACTCATAGAAATTAGAGTGTATCGTTAATGAAGAAATATTTTTTGGTTCTTTACTATGCTAAGTGGTGTCTAATGTAGTTTTATCTTTGTATTATTCTCATAATCAGTTTTGTTCGCTCAATTAACATGGATAAATGGAAGGAATTGGAATTGGAAAAAATGAAAGTTGGAGGCAACAGACATGCTAAGGAGTTTTTCGTTTCACAACCTGATTACAGACCTCAGTGGAGTTTTCAAGAAAAGTACAATAGTAAAGCTGCTGCTTTGTTGAGAGATAAGGTTAGTGTAGTATAATCATTATCTTAGTTAACCGGTGATCAAGGTATTCATTACTCGGTTACATTATGATTGTATTCATTTAATCCACTGTGGTTTTCCAGCGGGTTGTTTGTTGAACTTGTGTAAGGGTTAGTATAATGTCTGGTCTCCCAAACAATCGGTAGAGCAAGATTCTGATTTGTACCTATGGCTGTACGTTTGGTGCTTAAATTACAATACTGTTCCAGATATACGTCCTTACCCGATAGTAGTGGCTTAAAGTGAATTGTGTTGCGTATAACTACCACCTACCTTGACACTCAGTGATAATTATGATAAAAGTATATTAAAAGAAAGTTGGAAGCAGCCACATCAAGGTGTGACATTAGCCCATGAAGTTGACTTTTTGTCTGAGTCATGTTGGTATGTGTAGGTTACCAAGTTAAATTCTATGCGATAATCGTGGTGAGTGTTTAAGGTCCTGGATGAAATGGCTTTAAATCTGATCACAGTAGCTCAGATACATTCATTTTTCACGTTTCTCTGATTCCTGGGCTTTGATAGTATCGTATAATTTTTAGTATTTTCCATTTTTTCTTTCTGACCCATATTCCTTATGTTAAGATCTGTAATATTATCCTTAATACTGCTGTTATTTTGACTGGTTTTATATTTGTTTCGTTAATCTCTTGTTATGCTGATTCGATATGATAACTTGCGCTGAGGTTCTTTCGTGACAGGTTCTACATTGACCATAACTGAATGAATGACGTTCAACCCATCATATATGTACATCGTTGACTTGTTGCTATGCTATACATAATGAAATTCGATTAAAATAACTGTTCACTAGTTCCCCAGCATTACAAATTAATTCATTTAATTCCACTGCATATCAACATTTGTAAGGCACGGACTTGCCCTTATAAACTACTCTAACGATATTTAGTCACTAATTGATAACAGGAATGTCTTGTACACTTTGTTAAACCGGTTGTGAAAACTTCTGTGCAACATGAAGTTCAAATAAATTTGGACTTCAAGTAAAGCATCTCAATCACCACGATTGGGAATGATAACGATTCGTCATTTAGTAAATGTGACATTGGAAGTGTTTTGTATTTATAATTTAAATTAACTAGAACTTTTTTGTCTTACAAGATAACATTTATACAGATGATATTTATTTATTTATTTGAATACATAAATATTGGTACAGGGGAACATCAGATATATATGCGCCACACATCGTATTTTCCGCGAATAATCTTTTGATACCTTAACTGTATATGTTCCGTTATTTTTAGTAGCTTTTCATTACTGAAAACTGAAGAGCTAATAACTCACTTCTCTTTCAAGTATGTCATAATGATGTTGACAAAAACTTCACGATTAAACCATCTGTCAGACAACACATAACTTCCAAAATCCTTCAGGGCTGCAAAGTTTGTCCATTATTGCTGGGATTTTAACAGTACACTTGTCAGCTGTAGGCTGATTTTGGAAATTAAGCTTGCAAAGTTTGAAAACGTCCTTGTACCGGTATTTTCTCATCAAATTTCTGTGTAGTGTAGACTGTCGGGAAATTTAAGTTCAATTAATGCGTAGTTGAAGATAATGTTAGGATCTTTCGTACAATTATATGGGTTTAAACATCACAATTCAATTTCTTTAGTGGGTAGTATTATTAGCTATACACAGTAGATATTTAGTCTTTAGTTTAGTCTTGTAAGTTAACCTTTTATGATTTGTTATTAACAAACTTGTAAGAATCGTTTAATTAATGAATAAAATATACCAATCGACTAATAATATGCAATAATACAATATGTTTAAATGGTAACTGCTCACATGACAGAATTGTTTAAGTAAGTCTCTAAATAAACTGATGTTCGAATATAAGACAGCTGATCAGTAGAAAAGGTCTTTTTCTAAAAAATAACATCTTTGTTTACCTATTTATGTTTTTTCGTGGATATATAACTCAGGGATCCAGAAACGATTCTCAGTTATGCCCCACCTATTTTTAGTTTGTGCAACGTAGTGGGATCTCTTACCCTTATCTGTTGAGTGTGACTCAGCGTAGATTACACGTGAGTACACTAATCTGCTTTAACCATTCTTTTATTGTTATAGATTGCAACTGAAGCGTCTGGTGAGGTTTGGGATGAAGAAGCCGCTAATGTGCGTAATAATAAATCTACCAGTATAAGTCATGTAAAAACAACCGGTGATCTGCCATCTTTATCCTCAGATAAACGAAACTTTCATAGTAATCAGACTAATTATCAAGCCCCTGATTATTATCCTGGATCAAACAAAATGACCAGTTGCCATTCAGACTTGGAATCCTGGTTAAAGGATACAACTTTATCTGAGGAGCATGATTCATTTACAACACCAGCAACGAAGACAACAACAACTTCTGCTAATACACGTTATGATAAAGTTCCAGATTGGGCTGAGTATGTCAATTTTTAATCCCTGTAATTTGAATGTTTGCACTTTGTTTTAGCATACGATAACTGTTCAGTTTGTATTACTACATGGTCCATTTGTGAATTGAATAATGCTTATTAGTGAAAGTGTTTAGTTTTGTTAATCAACTTAGAGACTGAATCGTTCTAGGTATCTTGTTGCATAAATGTTCATAATTCCGTAATAATACATGTTTTGCAGTCTCTCCAATTATCAGCGTAACATTTATCATGGTATTCCGTGCTCAGTCGAAAATTTCGTCTTTGATTTTTGTATTGAAGAAATTTTTTGAATGAAGTTTGGAGGTGTTTTTTCTCTTTGTCAGGTCTATAATAGGTGTCAGTCCTACGTATCTCAAGTGTCTTGAGGATTTACACGTAACCTACATTTTTCTCATTTTATTAGACTTGGTAATTAAATCTGATGCTGATTGTTGACATTGGTATGGTAGATAAAATCAACTTATCTATGGTGAAAATTAACGTCTTATACTAGTCAGTGTCCTCTTTAGCATTGTAACGAAGAATACAACTGTAAAAGGTCAGATACATACAATGTGTTGGTGAGACTAGTTTTGCTTTTTACTTATGAGACCGAAGAACAACATTATTACCACACTAGCTTCAATTTAATATTCACACTCAACCCACTATTAATCAAACCTCTCATAGCTTCTCCCTGTACACCCCTAACATGTGTCGTTTAATAATACTAATAGTTTCAAAAATGATATTACTAGTTATGATTATCTTAACAGGGATATGAAATGCCACCAAGTTGTGGGGTAATTACTTTCTTCCTAATAGTTTGTTTGTCTTTTTTTTCAATTCCATTTCTTAAATATCTTATTGACTTTCTTATATTTTAGCTCTAAATTCATGGATGATAATGGTAAATATACAACTTCTTCGTCTAGGCATTATTCATTAGTACCTGAAAGAAATGATAAATACTCATGGCAGTCAGTAAGTTGTTTGTGCATTTCATCATTAATCTTGTATTAACTCATTTATGAAGCTCAAGTTTCTAATACCAAGCTATGATCATCACTTCGGATGTGATCTAGGATACACGGATGACAGTTTTATTTGGTATGGACGATGACAACATGCAAAGTCTTCTAATCTCATTGAACAACAATGCCAGAAAATGTCGCCTTGCGTTTTTGTCTTAAAATGCAAATTTTCCCTCTAGGACCTGTCGGTATCAGCACCTCAACTACTAGGGTTCGGATGTGAAGCAGTTAGACTTATCGACTACGTCACTTATCTTGAAAGTTTTATCAGCCCTGGTGGATTGATGTCAGGAGAAATCGGGACACGAGATATCTATTTGGTAACCAAAGGACGAGTCTACTGGTCAGCAGTTCGCTCTGTTGTAGTTTATTTCTACAGAATGCGACCTTTAAAAATAAAGGATAGGCTACTGACATTTGGTCATTTATGCTTTCAAAACATTGCTCGCGTATATTGAAACCATCAAGTGTACAACACTGAAATTAAGCAGAAAATACTAGATGAAGGTAGGAAATTGGTTGGTGAGGCTGTGAATCTTTATTGGCTAAGATGGTTGCGACATATATTACGTGTTCACAACATTTGTAGTGTAAGAGTTTTTTAGAAGAAAGCATAGCGGAAGCTGAACCAAGGTGTGGCATCAGTTCATGAGGTCATTGAATGTAAGAGTCAGCTTTGTTGGTAGGTGCAAACTACTTGATTGTGGTCTACGTGACTATTGTGATCGATTGTTAGGAGCTTGGGATAATATTGCTCAAAATCGATCACAATAATGAGAATGCATTTACTCTTTATATTACCTATCAATCCTGAATTTCAACATTGTTTTGTACTATCTTCCCGCTATGTAGTTCATTATTTTCAAATCATATCGTTTATGCATAGTGTTTTCTACTGTCACTAATATTGTTGCTACTTCTACTACTTTGACATTTGTTTTGAAAGATTAATTTCTCTGTGCTTAAGTGGTATAACAACTGGATTGATAAACATGCATATACCAGGCTCTACGTTGATTGTAACCAGCTGACTGACTTCAACTAGGTTTATTTCCACTGTTTATTACCAATGTATCAAATATCAAATGTATTGTTCTTACACAGATTCTAACTCCACTGACCGAGTTTTGTGTAAGAATCCTGGAACGAAAAGACTAAATTTGTTTATTATGGAGGGCGGAATAAAAATTGAGAATTTACACACACCAGACTATTAGATATCTGGATATAGTCTGTGTTGTAAAGAGTACAATTAAAGATGAGTCTAGTAATTTGAAAATGCTCCACTGTTCTTTGTATATAAAACTACAACGTCATCAATTTTCGAAGATAGTGCTTTACGTTTCAAAAAAATTAGACACACTTCATTTATTATTTTATTTATTTAAACACATAAATATTGGTACAAGCAAGCACCAGATAAATATGCGCCTCACAAATCTCATTCGATTTGTGTGAGGGCTGTGATACTGCCCAGGTGCCCAGACTGAAGCAGGTGGTTTGCTTAGGGGGCCACACCCGGAGCCTTTGACCTGAAGATCTAGTCCACAAGGCAGTGGAGCATCGTGAGGAGATGCAGTCCCATGGTAGCCGGTGACCAACAGTTGGTTCATACGTGATTTGTTCCTTCAGGATCCTGGAGCCCATGTGCACCATTGGTTTGAAATCAGGGTTTTCCAACTCCCCTAGATGGACTCGCCTTGTCCACCAACCCGGTTAAAGCGTCGGACATTTGCTTTTCGTCCTCTCACTTTTGTGAACAACACCCCCGCCACGAGAAGGCAGTGAGTAGGACTTCCCTAGCAGAGGCTATACATTCGCTGGCCATATGAGAGCATTTCGAGGGGGGGAGGTGACTCTCCCCACTCTCGGCCGTACCAGGGCATTTGGGGGCAGACACACTTCATGATAAACATCGTATCACAAAAATATAAGTGGTAAGAAAAAGACAATGTTATTGTAAATCAAACTGTACATCAAACTGTTGATATGGAAGTATAAATGATTTGTTGCAACATAATATTAGCATTCGCTTCAATAATTAAGCCATAGAAATCACTTAATGTAGTCTAGACTACTTACTACTATTGAGTAGTCCGATGTAATATCTAAAAGATACTCAGGAGAGTAATTATATTAATTTTAACAGTAAGTTGCTGCGTTGCTTTTTGTGATTGTAATGCCGTTTCGAAAGCTTACATTTCTGATTCCTCCGTTTTATTTACTTAGTTTTCACGTGCTACTATAATATGCTATTTGATGTTTGTTGTTTCTGACAATTTTTTTCACTGATTTGTGTTGAAAGCTATTATTTTGTTTCATAGTTCACATTACAAAGTGATCTTAATCAGCCTGGTACTAAAAATCAGGAAGCGATGGATAAGTGTTTAGCTCTAGCATGAGAATTCTCAGCTGTGGGTATCCACGACCTCATAAAGTGTCGAACCGGAGATCCTTATGACTAGCGCTTCATCTTGAGATCATTCATTCAGGATCCAGTGGTTTGCATGTTTAACTTCAATCACTGCGCAATATTACTCTCTAATTTTCCAATCCTATTAGTGGGTAACTGCCTCCAGCCCTCATCCACTCCATTGTTCACAGCGTCTCACTAGAAATTTAGGAGTTACTTTAGTGAATACATAATTATTATTAACCTAGACAACCACTGGAAATCACGAAACAGTAGATAGTTGTTTCATCCTGTTATAATGACACCTTAGTTAATATCGATCTGTAGTATAAACTATGAAGTTCAACCATTTTCAAAAACCTCTTATTGTGTTATTTTGTTGTTTAACACTTCTTAATCAAAATAACAGTAGATTATAACCAAAACAGTGGATACTGTAGTCAATAGAAGATGTATAGCTTTTTAATCTTCCATAATTAACCACAACTAATCGGAGTGGGGAAGGGGAGATCATCCGTAAACCGTGAAATTTATTGAAGCTGTAAAGAAGGAGCAATAAGCGTATTTAGCCATTGTATGTAAGTATATATTTACAATGCTTTTGTAAATATTATCAATACACAATACATACACTAAGATCTAAACAAGGCCTATGGGAAACCCCTTCCCCTACCGGCATCGATAAAAGCAGTACATTGTAACTAAAGGACCAATGAAACAATAAACAACAAACAAACAAGTGAAAGGCATAACAATACTGAATTCTAATTTTTGAAATAAAATAATTCTATATATTTTATTCATAAACTTGTTTGTTTTATTTTGAATTCGTCAATTTAGGGTTGGGCAATGGTTAGTCAAGTAGCTTCAGTAGCTGCTAAATGTACCAGTCAATTAGCATCTCAAGCAACACAAAAAACCAAAGAATTAACTCAATCCGTTCAAGAAAAAGTGAGTTATATATTAATTAGTACGCAGTATATATATATATATATATATATATATATATATATATATATACCAACCCGTATACAAGTGAATAACACACTAACGTCAATTCGATCGACATTGTTGTTCACAAATATATTTTTTGATGCTTTTTAATTTCCTAGTTATAACCTGTAGTCTAGTTTGTTTATTGTACAGTTCATATTCTATATTGTAGTTGTTACTGTTTAAAAGTTCTTTTGTTGTCATATTTTCATGTATCATTCATTTAATAGTGGGACAAAGAGTTAATCGGCAAAATAGCATACAATTGATGAACATTGCGTAAACTCATCCCACCTGGCTCTGAGCATAACGAAGAGCGGAGTCAACTTAAGCGAAGGCTTATAAGAAGCCTACGTAATGATCGTGAACAGTGGTGGGTAGCGAAAGCAAGGGAGATGGAAAAGGCAGCGGCAATAGGTAACAGTAGGCAGCTATTCAGACTCGTTAAAGAAACCGGTATTAGGAACCCGAATATCAGTGAAACCATCTCAGATAAAGATGGGCATATTATTCATTCTCAATCCAGGAGGTTGGATCGATGGGCAGAACACTTTAGGGATCAGTTCAACTGGCCTTCAGCCACACTTCAATTACCCACGATCCCCAGTCGTCCTGAATGGCAAATTGATGTAAATCCTCCAACCCTCTGTGAGGTTGAAAAAGCTATAGGAAATCTGAAGCGAGGGAGAGCCTCAGGCCCTGACAGGTTGACCCCTGAGATTTTTAAGGATGGTGGTCCAGTACTAGCAGTGAGATTGACTGAGGTCTTAGGTAGAAACTGGGAACTGGACGTAATTCCATCTGACTGGTCCCAATCACTGATTGTGCCAGTCTATAAGAAAGGACAAAAGTCCTCTTGTGACAATCACAGAGGGATCAGTTTGACTAATATAGTGTCTAAAATATTAGCTTCAATAATACTACGTCGCCTAACCAAAGCTCGTGAAGAGCAGACTAGAGAAAACCAAGCTGGTTTTCGACCTGGACGTGGTTGCATAGACCAGATATTCACCCTACGTCAGGTTCTAGAACATAGACACAAATTCAGACGTCCCACAATAGTAGTATTTCTTGACCTTAAGGCGGCATTTGACTCCGTTGATCGTGAGGTTCTATGGCAATGTTTGTCACTGAAAGGAGTACCAAAGAAGTACATTAACCTCATAAAGGCTCTCTACTCGAACACAACTGGCCGAGTTAGAGCCTATGGCGAACTGTCATCAGAACTGATTACCACAAGTGGCGTTCGTCAGGGCTGTCCACTCTCCCCATTCTTGTTTAACTTTGTCATTGACATACTTTTAGAGATAGCACTTTCATCAGCTAAACCTCCAGGAGTTGAACTTTTACCAGGAGGCTCACTTGTTGACTTAGAATACGCCGACGACATAGTTTTACTCGGTGAAGACGCTGACAACATGCAGAGTCTTCTGGCCACTATAAGCAACTATGCAGGCATGTTCGGAATGCGATTCTCTCCCTCGAAGTGCAAAATGTTACTTCAGGATTGGGTTGCATCGACACCTGAACTAATGATAGGGAGTGAAGTAGTTGAGCGTGTAGACCACTTCACTTATCTTGGGAGTCTCATCAGCCCTTGTGGTCTGGTATGTGACGAAATCTCAGCACGGATACAGAAGGCTCGTCTAGCTTTCGCCAACTTGCGTCATTTATGGCGTAGGCGAGATATCCGTCTAGCAACCAAAGGACGGGTTTACTGTGCAGCAGTTCGCTCCGTCCTACTCTATGGAAGTGAAACATGGCCAATAAGAGTAGAAGATATTCGTAGGCTACTAGTATTCGATCATAGGTGTCTTCGAAGCATTGCTCGTATATCCTGGGACCACCGGGTAAGTAATGCAGTTGTTAGGAAACGAGTACTAGGTAGGGATGGCAAATCGATTGATGAAGTAGTGAAACTTCATCAGTTGAGATGGCTGGGACATGTGTTACGTATGCCCGACCACCGACTGCCCCGACGTGCAATGTTTCATGGTGTAGGAGTAGGTTGGAAGAAAGCTATGGGCGGCCGGACCAAAACGTGGCAGAAATCAATGAAGTCACTGACAAGTGGACTGGGCCATGTTGGTAGGTGTAGACTACCTGGTTGGGATTCGCGAGATGACTGCAACCGATGGTTAGAGACCTTGAATGACATGGCTCAAAATCGTTTGCAATGGCGAAGATGCATCCACTCTTTGTGTTCTACCAAATTCTAATCTTCTGAATTCCTCGTGTCTTTATGTTTTTCTCTTTCCAAATTTATTTCACTGTACTATACTCCTTCAATAATTTCTTCAAACCCTAATCTTTTGGATTTCTGATTATACTCCTACTACTTCTACCACTATGGGATTTGAATCCACAACTGCATCTCTGTGCTAATGTGGTATGGCAACTCGAACTGATGTACGTACGTACGCAGTTCTACGTTGTGACTGACTGACTGACTGAACATTGCGTAATACATTTGTCTCATCACTTCTTAATTGAATTATCTAGTATAGATTTGTATACTTGACATTTCAATATTTGTCCATTAAGAGGAGAAGATACTCGTAGGTTACTAGTATTTGACCACAGATGCCTTAGAAATATTTTTCGCATCTGCTGGGATTACCGGGTAAGTAATAGTGAGGTTAGACACAGGGTATTAGGGAATGATGGCAAATCAATTGATGAGGTCATGAATTTTCATCGACGGAGATGGTTGGGCCATGTGTTACGTATGACTGAACACCGATTACCACGACGCGCTATGCTGACTAGTATTGGGGATGGTTGGAAGAGAGTTAGGGGCGACCAAACCAAAACGTGGCATCAGAGCATGAAGTCACTAACTTCTAGTCTGAGCCATGTTGATAGATGCAGAATACTTGGTTGGGGTCCGCGTGACTATCGTAACCAATGGTTGGAGACTCTAGGTGACATGGCTCAGAATCGATTACAATGGCGTAGGTGTATACACTCTATCTTCCCTTAAAATTTGAGATTAAAAATTGCTTCATAAAGTTCTTCCTTCCTATACTATATCCTTATATACAACCTACCTTTTATATACTACCACCACTAAATTAACTATTTCTGTGAATCCGGTGTTCATCTTGTTGTGCTAACTAGATATGGCAACTTGGACCGATGCATATGTGTGCCTGGTTCTACGTTGTAGCTGACTGATTGACTGACCAGGGGAAAATAAATAAAACAAGGAAATAATAACCATAGCTTAGTTAAGTTGTCCTTTTCTGGTCTAGTGCATTAAGTTGTAGGTCTATAGTCACTGAATGTAAATTTACCATACTACCTGACTGTTTAAACTTTAGGTATAAAATTAAAATCTGTGTTAAAACGATTCAATTTCAAGTGTATAAATGATTGAGCTACAAGTGATACGTACTAGTTTGTACGTTGTGGCCACGTGTATATAGCCTCTGCCAAGCAAGTCCTACTCACTGCCTTCTCGTGGTACTACTGGTGTTTACGAAAAGCGAATGTCCGGCGCTTTAACCGGGTTGGTGGATGTGGAGGATTCACCTAGGGGAGTTGGAAAACCCTGATTCCAAACCAATGGTGCACATGGGCTGGCTCCAGTATCCTGATGGAACAAATGGCGTATGAACCAACTGTTGGTCACCGGCTACCATGGGACTGCATCTCCTCACGATGCTCCACTGTCTTGTGGATCAGACATTCAGGTCAAAGGCTCCGGGTGTGGCTCCCTAGTCGAACCGCCCGCTTCGGTTTGGGAACCCGGGTAGTATCACGGCCCTCACACAAATCAGCGATAACCACTACCGGCCCCATTGTTAATTTGTGGCGCATATTTATATTTGGTGCCCTCTTGTGGATTCAAATGAATAGTAAAATAAATCAAATAACTCTTGTTCAATAACCTTGATACAAAACTGTACATTTCTATGTGCCTTCATGTACTCAAATGCGTACATTCGGTTACTTACTAAATCCTACTTTCAAAACTCATGTGAAATAATGACCACAGGGAAATAATACAAACTCAATAAGTTGACCATCAAAACTACTGATGTTTTTGAATGTTTTCCGTTTTAATAACACTGTTGTTGTTATCGTAATTGTAGTCGTCGTCATCATCGTTGTCAAATAATCAATGTTGTCCACTTTTTGCTGACTATTTTGTTTTTGAAAAAAAGGTTAAAGATAGCAATATTTTGGATTCATTATCAAAAGGTGTTGATACTGTCACTTCAAAGGTTAGTAAGTAATCTGTTTTATTAATATGCACGTGTTGTAAGGTCAGGATGTGTGTGTGTATGACTTTATTATTTTAGTCTCTTTTAGGTCATAAAGTTATATCTTTCATGATAACTTGAAAATCACCTTTACCTTTGAGCTAAAAAGTCGATTATATACTTCTTCGCTAATCATAGGTCGATAATTTTAACTACGGATTGTAAAAATAGAGTAAATTTATGCCTCCTTTTCTCAGTTGAAATCACGAACTTTACTTAGCTAGATCACTACTCAGAACCTGCAAGCACTGGATGATAGCCATTTCGTCCTAGTGTGGGGCTCCTCAGCAGTGGGCGTCCACGACTCTGGGACCGTTAATTGAACCTAAGATCTTCAGTGTTTAATCTCTAGACTTTTTTGTCGTTTAAAATTACGTAATCGGTCAAACGATTAAAAGTGAACAGACTTTAGTCTGTTAATGTTCAGTATTTTTCGTTGTTCATGCTATTAAGTGTTATTTAATCATATGTAAATGCTGATGTATACATGAAACTGTAAGTTACACCTATTGTAAAATGACTAACCTAAATGGTAAAACACTTGAAATATTACTGAGAAACCAATCAGTTTCAAGGTAACAAATTTTAATTATTCTCACGAAATTAAAATCAAGCAAACGCGATGATAGCTAATTTGTAGCCTATTAAGGTTTAGTAAAATAACTTCTATTTAGTTCTTAAGACATCCAAAGTATCTGATGTACAACCATTTAGTAAATATGTCATCGTTGAATACCAAATTAAGGGAAACATTTACTCCTGTTGTCGATATGATCCGAAATGATCATTACTCGGACGTATTATTAATGTAATTCAGGGAATGGTCAAGTGTTTATAGAATCATATGTTCCTTGTTCATTATGACCTAGCCGATAGAGAAAATTTATTGGTGTAGTATAGGCAACCGGTGATTAACATTTATTATATGGGTTGTTGGAGAACGTATGCCTGTGTCACAAGATAACCATCTAATCATTGTTCATGATAATCACTTAGTCGACTTTACAACTGGTGACCGAAATAATTACGTTAACCTAATATAACTACGACTGAAGAACGATCTCTGGTCCGCTTTTTCTAGGTCACTTCCGAGTCACTCAAGGTCGTCGTCGTATAGTTTCAGCGTCCAAGTAACTCAGCAATATTACTCACACAATGATCTGATATTCAGTAGTTGGACGTAATCAAGAAGAAACTCTAAACTTAAGTTTTTTGATAATTGGCACTTATCAACAATGATTTTGCAGTTAAGGACATTGCCGCTGAGTTATTAGGACCATTAGCCACCTAACGTCGGAAACAGTGCATATTGTTAGTGGAGAAATTGATCAAAGTATTTTAATTCCGAAAATTTCAGTCCATTCAGCCGAATGAAAACCTTGTAAGCAGGGACTAGTTCAAAGACCTTTCTGTATTAACAAAGGTGATTGACGGCAATGTGCGTTATAAAATTTTTAATGTAACCTCATCTTACGATCAATCATGTGTTTTCTAAAAACAGTTTTAATGATTTATGTATTGTCAATGAGTTTTTTTGAAATATTTCATTAGATCCAGGTTAATTATGTTCTGATTTTAAAATAAATGTTTTATACCCTTTTCTAGTTGCAAACAGTGAAAATGCAAGGAATTCGAAGTCTTGAATCATATTGGACTAGTAATCCTGAATCAGATTTGTCTAACGGAAATTCTGACAAATCATATGGGTCTACTCTCTACAGGTAGGTTTTAACGATCTAATTCATATATGTACACTCGAATGTGAATGTCATCACTTAAAAGCATAGGTGAGTGTGGATACCATCAATCTATTTTGAGTACAATTAAGAGCGTATTGAATTGACATGTAATTCACTATTTGAAATTAGTTGCTCAATCGGTTATGAAAATCAGTCATACAATGACACTCAATATAGAATTCGACACATATACATCAGTTCAAGTTTTTACACTAATATTATAAAGCAAAATTATAGAAACATACAAGATTAGTAGCAACGACAGTACCAGTGGTACTGGTACGGCCGAGAGTGGGGAGAGTCCGCTCTCCCTCTCGAAATGCTCTCACATGGCCAGCGAATATATAGCCTCTGCCAGGGAAGTCCTACTCACTGCCTTCTCGTGGCACTACTGGTGTTTACGAAAGTGAGAGGACGAAAAGCAAATGTCCGGCGCTTTAACTGAGTTGATGGACAAGGAAAGTTCACCTAGGGGAGTTGGAAAATCCTCATTCCAAACCAATGATGCACATGATCTGGCTCCAGTATAGTGAGGGAACAAATAACGTACGAATCAATCGTTGATCACCGGCTACCATGGGACTGCATCTCCTCACGATGCTCCACTGCCTTGTGGATCAGATCTTTCGGTCAAAGGCTCCGGGTGTGGCCCCTAAGCAAACCACCTGCTTTAGTCTGGGCACCTGGGCAGTATCACAGCCCTCACATAAATTGAATGAGATTTGTGAGGCGCATATTTATCTGGTGCTTCCTTGTATCAATATTTATGTGTTTAAATAATAAATAATAAGAAAAGATAATTCGAACGGAAAGAATAAATTTGTGGTATAAAAAGTTTAAGTATTTTAAGGCAGAATGAATGCATCTGTGACATTGTGACTGGTTTCGAGTTATACCTTCCAATTTTTCCAACGATTGATCACGATAATCATGTGAATCTCAATCAGGTAGTCTGTATGTATCACCACGGCTCAATCTAACAGTCAATAACTTCATGGAGTAGTGTCACGTTGTAATTTTGGCCACCTTTTACTCTGTTTCAACCCACTGATTATCTTTTACAAACACTCGGCGAACAACTACGTAGTTATAATTTTCATTTGTTTCACGAACCAACTTAGTTTAGACAACCATTAGCACTGGACTGCCGTTTCGTTCTAGTATGAGACTCCTTAGCAATGGGCTTTCACTACCCTACGACCATGAATCGAACCTAGAACCTTCGATCTCACGTGCAGACGCTTAACCCCTAGATCACTAAGTCGAGATCCAATGGTGTACAAGTCTAACTTTTATCGGTTACTGACTTCATTGAAATTCAACAATCTCCACAATCCCATACTGACTATTTAGTTGGATTTTACACTATATCTACTCACAGTCTGCTGTCATCATAAATATGATAGTAGTATATAAGTCTCAGTCCAACACATCAATATCTATCTGTTTAATGCATTATAGTGAGTAAAGTGATAGATGATCGATTCAGACGTTTAACTTTCTGCTATTTAATAGTTGGGTGGTATTTAATTTACTAGGGCATTATATAGTTATAGGAGACTGTTAGACTGTGTATTATTTTCTTCAAGATTTAGTGTATGTATAGGTTTCTTAATGTTTCCATCAATATCAACTTGGTATGAATATATGTGAAGAATCATCTTTATTCTATAACTAATAACTAATTTGATGATAGCCATAGACTGTGGAGATCAGACAACATTAATTTTCAATGTTAAAATATTTCTCATTATGTATTAAAATCAATTGAACGCATAACTTTCAGGTTTCCCCAATAAATGAAACATCTGTATAGACCACTGTTGAACTAATTACCATCGTTAATTCTAAATAATAAGAATTATTTTCAAAATAATCTTTAATCCTTTGATAAAATCAAATATCCATATAATCGTCTTGTTATATAATTCATAGATATTAACAATAGGAATTGGTTAAATCATTTTAAACTTCTAGAAAACTTATTTAAAAAACAATTAAAACATTTTTATCGACGTAAATCTTCTTCTTGATAATATTGTTTCCTGAAGATGTACAATACTATTTATAGGCAGTTTTTCCTACATGTAGTAGTCTGTAGCCCCCAAATGCCCTGGTACGGCCGAGAGTGGGGAGAGTCACCTCCCCCCCTCGAAATGCTCTCATATGGCCAGCGAATGTATAGCCTCTGCTAGGGAAGTCCTACTCACTGCCTTCTCGTGGTACTACTGGTGTTTACGAAAGTGAGAGGACGAAGAGAAAATGTCCGGCGCTTTAACTGAGTTGATGGACAAGGAAAGTTCACCTAGGGGAGTTGGAAAACCCTGATTCCAAACCAATGGTGCACATGGGCTCCAGGATCTTGAAGGAACAAATGGCGTATGAACCAACTGTTGGTCACCGGCTACCATGGGACTGCATTTCCTCACGATGCTCCACTGCCTTGTGGATCAGATCTTTCGGTCAAAGGCTCCGGGTGTGGCCCCCTAAGAAAACCACCTGCTTCAGTCTGGGCACCTGGGCAATATCACAGCCCTCACACAAATCGAATGAGATTTGTGAGGCGCATATTTATCTGGTGCTTCCTTGTATCAATATTTATGTGTTTAAATAAATAAATAAATAATTTGTTAGGAAGACCCAGTAAATTCCTCGAAAAAAGCCCAAAGGGTCCCTGAAAACCCTAAGAAACATCTTATCCAAACAACATTCGATAGAAGTTTCTCAGAAACATCTAGAAAGTGAAAAGTTACGTGTGACGTTTTTGATTTGATGATTACCTATCCTGTTACTATGTTTAGAAGGGATTTCAGAACTTTCCAGAAGCTAAAGGCTGTCTAAAATGCTATAAATACCCTAGATTTTCTGTATTTAAACTAACCTTGGAGTAAAGTGTTCCTCCCATATTTCACTCTTTTTCTCTCGTGTCCAAGTTGCCTTGTAGATTTAACTTGCGGGTTACTAAAAGGACTTAGGAAACTGAGTCAAGCATTCGATTATATGAATTTTTAGAGGGCGACAAAAACCATTATAGTGGAATTGATTAGGTTCAAACGGTTTGTCTGCCTCAACTGAATAATCAATCTAATGAATATATCGTCATTATATGCAATTCACCTCACACTAATGAAGTTCGAATCCTGCTTGTGGGATCATAAATTACTGAGGAGTTCAATGCTTCCAGTTTTTCAATGGTAGTCTAACATCGATCGGTTCATGATCTCAATCAAAAAATTAACAATCTCCACAACTCCATACTGAAGTTAAATCGATTGCGCATAATACTACTACTGGTTGTATTACATAATTGACCGGTATAAATTATTATTATTAATGATGAATAGTTGTTGGTGAATTCCATCGGTTTATTTTTGAATAGCTTGTTGACATAATTATTCATCTTATTTTGTTTTATATGTTCAATTTTCCTTGGTTTGTGTCCTGGTGTGGATTATGGGTTTGCACTGTTGTGGGGAGTCCAAAGTTTAAGATGTGGCAACTTCCTTCAGTATTATTTAGTCTTCGATAGTTCAATATTTTTTATATCCATTAAATCAGATCATTATATTATCAAATCCATTAGTAATATGTTCTCTCTTGAACTAATAACATGTGACCATGAACAATAACTAGGAATACTTACTCTTCACTGATCTAAGCGGCTTTTTTTTCTAATCCCCTGTAAGCAATCAGGATATGAAGATGTCAATCAGACTTACCTTCTATTTTTGTGTGGTTGTCATGAAATCAAAGCTCAAAGAATTACATAGATCGATTACTGGTTCACAATGTGTCACAAATAAGGCATCATAATTTGTACACAATTTAGATTGACGTCAATTGATAGTCATATATATCTTGATCAGAAATTCTTGATTTACTTGAATTCTTACATTTCTTTTAATCATTCTCTGCTAGTAATCGTGAACAAGATTGTCCCAGTTCAATGTTTCTTGATCGACACTTACAACATGGAACCGATTCGTTTAATACAAGTGAAGGAAAAGGTAATGCTTTTTCGTCCACTTTTAAAATGAAAAATGTTTTGTATGCGACTGTCTGTTATGGACGAGGTTTTCTAAGATTAATGAAATAGGATTTCAATTGTTAAAATCACTGTGTAGAATGGTTATTTATAGGTGAACACATTGATATGATGTGTGGCTGAGTGATGCTTAGTTACGGGACTGTCTTATTGACAGAAGTCACCGAATGATTAGAGATGACCGAAAAGACTACTAGTTGGATGAATATATTTTCTATGCGATATAATAATATGGTTATATTTGGAATTTAAACAGAAATAAAAATGATAGAGTGTGATGTCGAATTGGAGTAAATTAGCCTGTAGGTCACTGATTCGGGGACGCGACTCTAGATCTCAAGGGACAACTTCTCATAGTCGATAATACGACATTTTCGTGACAAGTTTGTAATGTGTGTTAGCTTCGCACTGCAAACTGTCTTATTATCGGAAAATAATCTGTATAGTAAGGTGAGGTTTAACATTTCTGCCTCCTGTTGTGAGAAAGCAACCTCGCCGCAGATTCCTATTGCCTAACGAAAACACCTTAATTCTGTCACACCCCTGTGCAGTCAGCAATATGACTTCATCCCCGAACTTGAATTTTCTAATTTTAGTCTCACCGATCTCCAACCGACCTGCCTGGGATGGTAGGATCCTAAAAGAACAAGCGTTCAAGTTAGTCTATCTCGATTGGTTCATTACGATGAGCAAACCGGACTATTATTTGAAGATAGCAGCTATTGTCAGCTACAACCATAGCGTTTTGTTCGTATTCCTCCTAACACACGCAATTAAAGAAAAAGGGAACATAGGTGGTTTCACAGAAGAGCTTTTAGTGTCTCTTGACGAGGCGAAAACACTACTCAACTATTTCATACACGACTATGTCTGATTCTCATCGCACTACTATTACCGCGTAATTCTAACTTTTTGCTGTTGCCAGGTTTGTATACATATTTTACAGGAACTTCACCATCACATACATATAGGGATCTTTTCTGTATGGAGTTGCCTTAGCAGTTTTTGTCGATTTATGTCATACAAGATTACTTGAATTTTCAGTGTCAGTTATTGACAATATTAAATAAACAAATATCTATTTCATATTGTTGTTTAGGCGCTTCATTGTCGAATACTAACTGGAATAATAATGAAACCTGTGATTGGGATTTAAGCAATGACCATGGATGGGGATCAATTGACAATGACGGTTGGTCTACTACAACTGGTGGTGGTAATTCTAGGACAACACTAGCTAAAGAATCCGTTGTACGAAGTGACTCCAAGTCTGAAAATAATGGTTGCAATCGAAGAAGTCGTAAAAATTCTTAGATTTAATAACTTGGAAATTTAAATTCTCCTAATCCTTTTTGTTTGTTTGGTAATGATCAAGGTCACTTATCTTGCTTGTATACTGTAACTATTCATTTCTTGGCTTTTTCTTTTGTTTAATTGTATTGTATAATTTATTTTTCTATCTGAAGAAGTCTCTTTAATTTACCATATATATTTCTTAATTTTGTTATGTAATCTTTAGGATATGAATGATGAAGGGTTTATGATAGTTGTCACGGTAACTAAGCCAATTTATCTTCCTCTCTTTGATTTCTTATCTTTTTAATTTTAAACCCATGTGGAGTTTTGTGCAGATGGTATTATCATTATTTCAGTAGTAGTACTGTGTATGGTATTGGTAATATATATGATGTGAGACTTTTGCATGGTTTGAATAAAAAAACATTTGTTACGTTGTTAATGATACTCTTTTTCAGATAGATGTTACTTATTCAATATATTCGCCTGTTCAATGTTTGTTTGTTTTACTGTTGTTCAATTGTTCAGTAATTAGGTTTATCATTTATTAATGGTGAATTTATATGTTGTTCATTGACTTGTTTCCATGTAGACGGACTGTGATAACCGTGCTGACCTTTGTTCAGCAATTTCAACACATGCATCGGTGATTTATTACTGGTGTATTTAACTTTTAATGGTTGGATTTAAGGTTCAGGTCCACTTTATTCCTTTGGATAGTGTCAATAGGCCTCACATAGAATAGTGTAGTTTAAACTTGAATAGATGACTTTGTGAAATTCCTGAGTCTTGCGCAAAATTGCTATTGGAATGTTTTGTTTACTCATAAGTAGTTTATCACTTTCATTGAAAATTGTCGTGTCCACTAGTTACAGTCGTAATTTCATGCGTATTATGTTTCTCTGTGTTGGATGTTTACATTGATACGAAGCAATGCTACTGGGATTTCCTTAATACCGAATTTCGGTCTTTTCACAACTGTACTTTTTTCCATGGTTTTGTGGATTCATTTAAATAAGCGACAGCATATCGTGTCTTCCCACTTTCAATCTGCGTTTGTGTGTACTTAGGTTTACTGCGTCTCGCAGTTAGTACAATTTGTTCTGTAGGTAACAATGCATTTATTTGACCTGTGTTTTCTTCTGAGTGGAGTGGAATCAAATTAATATGTTAGTTTGTTTGCGAAATTGATGCCAAAAGGTCTGCAATGTTTTCTACATATGGTAAGACGTTTTGTTTTCTGATTTCCGGAAGTGATCTAGTGGTATGTCAATTTGTTGAAGCTATTGGGTTTCCATTTTTTACAGTAAATGGACATGAAATTAGTGTACTCAGCTTTTAGCAAGTTAACAGTTCTGTCTTGAGTTTTGACTGCATACAATATTTGTTGTTAGCTGTTGGGTTGTTCATGTTGTAATTTAATGTTTGTTCTATGTACCTTGGTTTCATGATTCCAGTATTTCTGTGTTTACTTTGTATATTAATAAATCTGAGAGGGGGATTTTATTTCCTGATTCTTCATTTGTAAAGTTGATGTTATCGAAGGTGGTATTGACCAACTTATTAGTGATTTCGAGTTAATCTCTTCAGAGGTGTTGTGAAGACTTTAGATTATCTAGTTTCTTTTTTAGAAAGTTTAGTCTTCATGTTTGGGTAACTGCAATAATCTCTAATATTGATTTCCCTAGTGACTTTCAGTTATATTATTGATTGTTCTCGCTTGTAGTTTGCTACTTTTGTGATTTCCCTTAAAATTGCTCTTGTTGCTTTACAGACAGAGTTCTTTTACCACAACTCTTAATTCTGTTGCTAATATGAAAGCCATCCTGAAAGCCCAGTCTTTTTTCATTCGTTTGGAATTACTAATGTTGAAGTGTTGTAGCGTATTTGTCTCCCAATCTTTCTAGTTCACACAGGTCTCATTTGTTTTGTACGAATTTCCCAATCGCTCGTAATTTCGAGATTGCCGTACTTTATTCTGTTTCAAAACAATAAAGAAGGATAACAAATATGTTATTTACAAAGCGTATCAAAATCTTTAGTTAAATGTTTGACTGGACTGTAACTTCAAGTCTTAGCTTTACTGTCCCTATTATGTTATGATATAGGCGAATCGATTGGGGTTCCCTCGTCCTGTTTGTAAGTCTAACAGTTAGATTGAATATAGGTTACTAGCTGATAGTTTTCTTCCATTGTAGAATAGAAACAACTTATTAGTATCCGTTAAAACCAATTGAGCCTCAAAAGTTAATTCTACACGTTCGTATCCTCAAAGTTGAATTCATGAGTTTATCTAAGCTAGATCACCATTGGAAAGCTGGAATCACTGGATGGCTATTTCGTCCTAGTATGGGACTACTCAGTACTTCTCATCCAGATTTCCGCACGTGGGACTCGAATCTAGGACCTTAGGTTTCGTGCACAAACGCCTAACCTCTAGACCACAGCCGTCATCCAACAGTGGTAATGTCTAACTTCAATCAATCCATGATCTTGCACAACCCTTCGTATCCGTCAATCGTGTATACAATTATACAGGCTCAGTAATTTAATATCGCAGGACTGGTTTATTTTCTCTAAAATGTATTTCTTCCTTATTGATATCTAGTGAGTTTCCTTCATTGTAATACAATGTTTTTCACTGTAACTTGTTAGCCACTATTTAATTATAAACTATATATACAGTTGTGAGTTATCTCTAATTAATTACAACATTGTTTATTTCTTATCCGTATACCAAATACACAAACACATACAACTCAATGTAAGTAAAGAAGAAACAAATAGTTGAATATATATCTCATTTGACATGAAAAATACATTTACAACTTACTATCTTGATTTATGAATTCACTTAGTATTGCTTGTTTGAATTTTCCCATTGATGCTTATGACTGCAACTGGTCAGTCTCTTATTGGCATATGTGCATACTGTGCGTATTACCTTGATATAGACTTATTTCACAAGCATTGTAAGCAAAGATGGATAGTGGCTAGCACTGAAATCCAGTTTGACGCGCGTTTCGTCCCATTTAGGACTCGTCAGTTGGATGCCAATGATAGACTGACCAGTTGTAGTCCTAAGCATCAATAGGAAGATTCAAATAAACAATACTAGGTGAATTTAAACTTCACCCCATTGCACAAGCAAGTAGCTATCAAGACTCTGTAGCTGAGTGGATAACGCGATGGCGTTTGAAGCGAAAGTTATTGGGTTCTAGTCCCAGAGTGGATATCAATTCTGTGATGCAGGTACATCCATCTGACGAGTCCCAAATAGGACGAAAGGCGCGTCAAAGTGGATTCCACTGTTAGCCGCTATCCATCTTTGCTTATATCTTGATATATTATATTTTGATTAATAAATTAGGGAACTTAATTAAAATCATCATAGTGATGTTAATCAGTTAAATATCATGAATTGGTTCATACATTCTGACAAACCTTTTTTACGTAATCACCAATTATACGTAGATACATTTATTGATCCTCTTTAGTGGTTCACATCTAACTAAAAGTTACTTTGTCTACTAGTAGGAGTACTTAGAGTAGTGTTAATGAGGAGAATTGAAAAAGAAAAAAATAAAATAAAAGATGAATCAATGATCCAGATAACTTATCAAATATATTTACATTTAATGTAGAAAACAACAGACAACAATCAACAGTAACATGATATATTTAGATTATGAAAATCTAAACTCGAAGCAGATAGTTAGTGTAGAGTATTTTTTTGTTAACTTGTTACATCTCTTTCAATTACCGAAAATGACTATAATTCAAATTTACAAAATAATTAATTTTAATAATCATTAAAACAAAATGATTAAGTTAGAAGGGGATTTGTGGAGATTTCAATATTTTTCAAAGTTGAAATCATGAGTCAATTGAAGCTAGACCACCATCGAAAACCTGGAAGCACTGGACGGCCGTTTCGTCCTACTATGGGAGTCCTCAACAGTGCGCATCCACGAGCCAGCTCACTGGTTTATCGGTTAAGGGCTTCGGCTCGAAACTAGTAGTTCCTGGGTTCGAATCCAGAAAGAGTGGGTTCGTGGATGCTCACTGCTGAGGAGTCCCATAGTAGGGCGAAACGGCCGTCCAGTGCTTCCAGGTTTTCGATGGTGGTCTAGCTTCAATTGACTCATGATTTCAACTTTGAAAAACGATTAATGTTTTTTTATTTAAAAAGGTAAGAAAAATAAATCTAATTTTATGTTTTAATAAATTTGTATCGAAGTTTATTTTCAAATGCGATTTCAATTTGAGATAAGATAGTGGTTGGAGGTGGTCCAGCGGAAACCATGGACTCTGATTTCGTGCTACTTGGCACTTATCAGCAAGATTTACCTGTAATCTTGAAAAAACTAGTACTCCCTGACGGATTCAATTTTGTGTCACCCAGCTTCACAGTCAGAGATGTTATCACTGAGCTATTCGAGCCGCGACTGACCTCCTGTAGGAATGAGATGTAATCACAATTGACTGATCACTGAGTGGTGATCAATGTCATGTGTGTCCAGTCCTTAATGCTGATCAAACGCTATCGATAAAGTTGCAATGTGGCCACTAGTCTAAGTGGCTTGATATTTGATCGATAGCATTCGATCAGCAGTAAGAAGGACTTGACACGCATGATATTGATCACCACCCAGTGACCAATCAATTGTGATTTCAACTTATTTTACTAACTTTTTTAATGATTAACTGGGTAAACAAATGTTTAACTATTATATCTCGACGAGAATAATGGATGGTAACTGTTGGGATCCATTTATGGTCTAATACTATACATATATTTTTATTATGTAATTGTTAAGTAACCAAACTATGCATATTCATGTTTTTCTTATTATAAACTTTATTTTGACTCATAGAATATTATTATATTATTTTTGCGTTCTTAAGTTATGCCCCAGTCTATTAATTTCAGTCTTCTACATTCATAGCCATTTTTGACTAGATCTTTTACAAATGTTGTTTTCTATTTTGTGTTGTGATTTGGTCTGTTTGGTTTGTATATAAATCCAGTATGTTTGAATTATATGATTAATATCATGGAGGCTGAGATTGGTGTTCTGGACCCAGAAGTCAGGGTTAGGCAGAAAAGAGCACCGATAAAGACTTTAGACTGGTCGTATAAGTTTATGTGTCATTGGTCCTGTCGATAAGTCACTATAATCTAATCGGCGGTATCAATACATTATACAATAATATGGCACATGGCAACAAGTTATAACATAACTATGGATTATTTTTTTTAAAATAAATATTATTCTATGTACATTTATTATTATTTATTTAAACACAAATATTGGTACAAAGGGGCACCAGATATATATGGGCCGCACAAATCTCATTTGATTTGTGTGAGGGCTATGATACTGACCGGGTGCCCAAACCGAAGCAGGTGGTTTTCTTTGGGAGCCACACTCGTAGCCTTTGACCTGAAGGTCTGATACACAAGGCAGTGGAGCATCGTAAGGAGATACAGTCCCATGGTAGCCGGTGACCGACGATTGATTCATACGCCATTTATTCATTCAGGATTTTGGAACCCATGTGCATTATTGGTTTGAAATGAGGGTTTTCCAACTCCTCTAGGTGGATGCACCTTGTCCACCAACCCGGTTAAAGCGCTGGACATTCGCTTTTTGTTCTCTTAATTACGTAAACAACACCCCCGCTACAAGAAGGCAGTGAGTAGGACTTTTGTGGCAGAGGCTATATACGCGTGGCCATGTGAGAGCATTTCGAGAAGAGGAGCTAACTGTCCCCACTCTCGGCCTTACCAGGGCATTTGGGAACATTTATGCACATCTATTTATTATAAATAATAATAATCATACATAAAAATTACGTGACATTCATTGAAATATAAGTAGAAATTCTCTTTTTTTAATTGTTTTAATCATAATTAATTTTTGTATACATGTTCAATATTCAATGTCTATATGTTTTATAAGTAGATAAAAAGGAAAAAATGATATTTTCTTTACAGTTACTAGATTAAATTATTATAGAATTCGATCGGGAATATACAGTTTCTATGATAAACCCTAATATAGAGGGGGGTTGGTTGGTGGTGATGGTATTTTCTTTCTTGTTAGTAGATTAAATTATTATAGAATCGGATTGGGAATATATAGTTTCTATGATAAACCTTAATATAGGGAGGGGGTTAGTGGTGATGGCATATATATATATATATATATAAGAGATAATGAAATAGAAATGAAACTTATATTCATCTTTAAATTGGCGACTATTTATGGTTTAAAGGATTGATTTTTTTTGCATTCTGAAAAGAATTGTTACATAAAAATAGAAGAATTGATGATGAAATAAGTTTAAGTTTATAAGTTTCAATGAAATT